GATACCCAAATTATGGTCCTATTTTCAGCTGAATGGAGCCATAAACAACAGCAAAGGGCAAAGAAGGATTTTAATGCTGATAAYAGCTTCCTCTTAATTATAATCTGTGTTTGCCTTATAATAATCCTTAGTATAAATATTGTCACCTTTCCTATTTTATTCAGRATTTTGCTWTGTTARTGTTCTTAYTAAATCCTTTACTCTCTCARTCAGGGACTCATCTGGGAYTCCCAGATATCTTTGTTTTAAATTYACCTTTCAGAAATGCAGGAAAATCTAGAAAGCATAACTACCTTAGAGGTTAAAAAAACCCTYTGCCAGTCACAAAATGTTCTGATATCTCCCATAGCTCCCAAAAGCTCCAGAGACCCCACACAACCTTTCCTTCATCCTTCCTTCCCCTGTCCCCAAAYGCACTGACTCCTTGGTCATCCTTTCATTCCTGCTTCAGATGGCCAGTCCCTTCTTAGCTGCTGAGCCCAGCCTCCTAAAACCCTAATTTTGACTTCAAGGCTTCTTACTCATCTTTCCTCCACAACTTTCATGCTTACAGATTTTTTTTAATCCCAGCCTAGTCCTATTCTGTCAGCTCCCACAAGAAAAATGTGAGTTGATTAAATATAGAAATAGGGCAGTAAAAKCTACTTTTGGCTCTAATATTTATTGAAGTCTTGAGCTGGTCCACATCCAGCTGTCTACCAAGGAATTWAATGTGCAGCCAGGTATGGGGATGTATTTCACACATAATTGTTTCACACTGACTTCCCTATGTAGACAAGTACTTAGGTCTTGCTGAAGCAAACATTTGTTTACCTTGCAAGCACATATAGGCACTAGTTGACTCTCATATTAATAGCACAGCATGGGTATGTCAATATTGAAATGATCTGAGATAGTCAGGGTGAAAGGTATTTTTGCCAAAGACAGCATTATGTTTTGGTATTCATGCTCAGCATGGCTACAACTAAAACAACAGCAGTACTCAAACTGCTAGATTTCCATAAAGATATGAAATAATTGTTGTCCTGGTCATAAAACTTTGCTTTTCTCTTTGAAAGATCCATGACTAAATAGCTTCTATAATTTTCATGTAAAATGTTTAATACCACATAATCTGTAGCTGGCTCAGTTTACCAGAAACATTGTAAAATAATCTTCAGGGCTTTATATCTGACGTTCACTCTATTTTTTGTATTAGATTTAGGTTTGTGTGATCTTCCATATGTAAAGTAACTTGTGCACTGGTAAACAAGGACTCCTSTAGAAATTATAAAAGTACTTCAAAGCAATTCTCAAATGCTCAAAACTGCTACTGCCAGCCAGAAAGGCTAGATAACAGCCTGCTAGAGCTATATCTTTATTACAAATATTTGTGCCTTCTGGTTCACTGAATTCACTTGCTATATATGAAATATTTAACTGTTAATCCATCATGGATTTGTCTTTGGCTGCCTGAGCACTGCTTTCATAACTTGTATTTGTCTATGTGGAAATAATACCACAAGAAATACAGTAGTAGATATTGTGAGATATTGTGAGAAAGAACAGAAAAGAACTGATTTACTTTTTGCTCAAGCATATTCAACATACCYTTCAAGGGTTTCTGAATATGTAGAATTAAAAATTGGAAATTTTAACAAAAAGCCTACCTGCAAAYTAATCCATATAGTCTCCAAGGCGCTCACTTAATGTGTCTGTCTAGTAAGGATTCGTGCAGAGAGCTTCATTAATAGGTACTAATGTTCTAAATATATTAGTATTCATTACTTGAATAGTCAACTATTTGAAATGTGTTTGTACAGTTTTAAATATAATTTACATTGTTTGTAAAGTGTGAAAATGCATTGTGGGCAGCATCAGCATGAACTGGACAAATAGGAAATGCTGCAAAAGGGAAAMATTTTCCACCTTGGTTTAAGAATAGAATTCGCCTTCTTTGCTCTAAGAGCACACTGCTGGCTCATGAATGACCAAGTTAGAGCTGAGCTCTCACTACAGCCTTACTTGGGTCATTTGTATGACTTAGATTAATTCTTGTATTAATCTKATTTATTGACACTGCTCCAGCGGTGTTTACTTGGGCTGCAGTATTTTTTCTCATTTTTTGGCTTTAACGGTGTCTAGCCAATGGGTGTCAGCAAAACAGGCATGGAAACGTGACTGGGGTCTAACTGATATTTGCCTAAGTTTGAAGAGGACTTGAACTGAGCTGTAAGATGTCAACTATCCCTTGTGTCACAGGGAGTTTTTATCCGGGAATCAGTGGCATTAGCAGTATGTCAGTGTTAGATGCCTCAATGCTCACTGAAGCAACAGAGAAAAGATCATTTTAAAAGAAGTATTTGGAGGAATAGCTCAGTTCCATTACATGAATAGCAGCATTTATGAGAGTGCTGCCATGTAATTATATATATAAATTTAGCTTACTCAGGTAAGAGACAAGCCCTGTGTGCCCAGCATAATCTGTAAGGATATCTGGGCTGAAATAAAGAGGAATGAAGGAGTGTGTGCTACTGTACACAGCTTGTGTTTTCAAAATCTGCAGCTCAGAGGTCCAGCTGTACCTTGGGCTGCATCACAAGAAGTGACCAGCAGGATGAGCGAGCGAGGTGATTCTGCCCTCTGCTCTCACGAGACCCTGCCTGGAGTACTGCCAACAGCCCTTGGGCCCCCAGATAAGACAGAGTCCAGAGGAGGGGTATGAAGATGATCAGAGGACTAGAACACCTCTCCTATATAGACAGGCTGAGAGAATTGGGGTTGTTCAGCTGGAGAAGAGAAGGCTTGGTGGAAACGTTATTGTGCCTTCCAGTACCTGAAGGGAGCTGCAAGAGAGAACTTTTTACAAGGGCATGTAGTGTTAGGACAAGGGAGAATGGCTTTAAACTGAAAGAGGGTAGGTTTAGATGAGATAGTAGGAGGAAATTCTTTACTGTGAGGGTGGTGAGGCACTTGAACAGATTGCCYGGGGAAGTTGTGGATGCCCCATCCCTGGAAGTGTTCAAGGACAGGTTGGATGGGACTTTAGGCAACCTGGTCTAGTGGAAGGTATCCCTGCTTATGCAGGGGAATTGAAACTTTCATCCCAAACCTTCCAGCCCAAACCATTTGATGATTCTGTGATTTCTCTGTGCAAGATCTCATTTCTTTCCAGCCTTAGTTGTTGTATGTTGCGAGAATGGTTGTATCTTTGATTTTTTTTTGGTGAAAATAATATAACTGTAAACAGGAACATTCATTTTCCTCTTTGTAACAAATTGCTCTATCTTTCCTTATGGACAGAAATAGGTTTTACATAAGTTTCCAGTTCTAAGCTCATCCTCTGTATGCTAATTTAAGTTCATGAATATCCAGAGAAAGGGAAATGGGATCTCAAAAAGTGAAAGAAGAAAAGCTTTATTTGCCACATGCCAACCTTTTTCCTTTAGGAACAAGTTGCCGCACATTTAAGACAAACCATGAGTTTACAGTATTGAAATCTTTGTTTATGACAAGCAGGAGTAAGATCACATGACTTGTATTTGTTCATTTAGTCTTCTCTGTGAACTGAATAGCCTTTTTGTACTTTGTATGGGKCTGATCTTTGCAAATAAATCCTCCAAATTCTCAGGAGTCAAAGATAAAGCTGCAGTGTCTACAGAGTATTTATCAACACTCAAAAAACATATTTGTTTCTCACAAAGAGAAAAAATCGTAATCAATTGAAGTGTCTCAAAAAATGATATGTAAAATCAGCTTTATCACTTCTGGGGCATCAGAATTTCATAAAATCCATGGTGCTTATAGCTTGTGATGTAGCTACTTTGGTGAAATGACAAAATAAACAACGATACTGCTTTCAAAAAATCAATCTGTAACACATTGCATTTCTATTGGAAGATTTTATTTAAAAATAAATATTACAAATAAATCCTGAAACTTTAAGACACCTCAGTGAGAGATTAAATTTGTAGGCATACAAACTTCAGTCTTACAGGCCGACTGAAGCACTGGGTAGTGCTTGGGAGCAGATCGTGGGAAATCCGTGAGGCAGAGGGGCAGAGGCTTTGCTTTGCACAGCTGTGTAAAGACTTGCCATAATAGCTGTCTGGAGCAGCAATCTCCGTGCTGGAGGAAACATGAGGAGCGACTGTTCTCCCTCCCTTAGGACATGTAATGCTCACAGAGACCGGGAAGGGAGGAGTGACTGCTGTGCCCTTGTGTTCTGCCTCCACTGGCCTGAAGAAAAGCAAGCTGAGAGATGCTTTTAGAGAAGATGCAAACCACCCGAGTGAGAAACCCCCAGGGAGAGTGCCCTGCCCTCGGCAGAACGTCCCCAGTGCCACCCCTGGCATGCTCCGCACGGTGCGGGGTGAGAGCCACCGTACCCAGTCCCAGCCCTCAATGCCACGATTTCCAGCCCAGAGTTCATCGTTCCTGTGCAGTTTGCTATAGCGTTTTTTAAACTATTTTGTGTTAAAACCAGTGGATGGGTGCATGTGCTGTTGCTCTGTGGTTGGTTGGTTTGATGTGTTTTTTAAAATTCGCTTTAAATACTCCAGCAGCGGCAGGGGTCCCGGCCGGAGGTCACGCGTGGCAGCGGGGCCTCGGGGGACCCTGCGACCCGACACGTCCCACCCGTACGGAGAGCAGGTCACCGCGCCCGCCTTCCCCCTCGTCCCTCCCGCTGTTTGCGGTGGGAGGCAAGCGGTGCCGGCACCGCCGGGGAGGCCATTTTGCAGCCGTGCAGGGAGGGAGAGCGGGCGGCGGGCGCGGCCGGGCGGGACCCGGCGGCAGGTGAGCGCGGCAGGTGAGCGCGGCCACACCGGGGCAGGGCCGGGATGGGCTGGGCTGCCTGGCGGGACACGCGGCTGCCCCGGGCGGAACGGGGCCAGGAGCCGGCGCTGCCGGGGAGCCCCGCGGCGGGGCAGGGCGGAGCGCGGGCGGCAGGGGGCGCTGCGCCGCCGGGCGCGGGGCAGGGCAGGGCAGGGGGTGCCGCCAAGGGTTAAGGGGCGGGCGGGGAGCCCGGGCCGCTCCCGCGGGGAGAGCGGGGCGATAAACGGGGCGGAATTGAAGAATAAACCCGGGCGGACAGGCAGTGGGGCCGTGCAGCCCTCCCGCCTCCCCTCCTTCCCCCCCCACCCCCGCCGCCCGCCCGCCCGGGGGGACAGCGCGGGACGCGGAGCCGGGGCGCAGCGGCGGGACGACAATGCAGCAGGCGGAGAAAGCAGGAGGGGCAGCGCACGGCAACATGGAGGGAGGCGCGGAGCGGGCCAGCCCCTGATGCGGCTCTTTCTCCTCCTCCTCCGGGCAGCGGCTCCGGCGGCGATTCTCTCCCTGGCGGCGGCTGGCGGCGGCGGGTGGAAATGAGCAGGTCGGCGGCGCTTCTCCTCTGCCTGCTGGGCTGCAACGTGTGGAAGGCGGTGACCAAAACCTTAGGGGCGCCCGAGGCGGCTCAAGGTCGGTGCGGGATGGGCGGCGGGACTGGCCCGCTTTGTGCTGCGGCCCCGGGGTGGCGGGGCTGCATTGTGCGGGGGGCCSGGCCGGGGTACGGCGGGGAAGCGGGGCGGTGATGTGAGACTCTCTCGGCGCCCACCGGCCGCCGCAGRCCCCTCAGCCCGGAGAAGCGAAGGCAGCCCCGCGGCTGGGGAGCTTTTGTTACTGGCAGGGGCTGCGCTGGCCTCATTGTGCTGCCCCCTCGGTCCCTCCCTCCGTCCCTCGGCGCTGCCGGAGCTGTTGCATCGCGTCCTTTCGCCCCGGTTCCCCCGCGCCTCACGGTGCCCGCTGCAGGGCCCGTCGCGGCGGTGAGAGGCGGGTGGGGGGCACCGGCGGTCGCAGGCCGTGCGGGGCCGCCGGGCTGGGGTTCGCCCCCCGGGCTGACGGCGCGGCTCGGCCGCGGCCCCGGGACGTTTCCGGGCCTCCGCCGGGCCTTTTGTTCGGCGCGGTGGCTCCCGCCGGCCGGGCGGGGTCTGTCACCGCTGCCCCTGGGCAGCCGGGCAGAGACGCTCCCCGGCCGGGCAGGGTCGTTCTCTCTCTCCGCCCGTGCCCGGGCGGGCGCAGAAGCCGTAGCGAGGCARTGCCCGAAAGCCCCGGGGGCACCTGGTGCTCCTGCGCCGGGCTGCGGGTCCTGCCCTGGGCTGCGCAGCCCCGAGCCTTACCTGTGCCATGGTGCACCTGCCCTCCAGCCCTCCCCCGTGTGGAAGCTCAGGGAGGGGGCGAGAACGCCGCCGTGCCCCATTTGCCCTCGGCCTTGAGTTGGGTGGCAGGAGGGCAACCCCTCCGTCGGGGTCTGACAGGGATCCTGCGGCTGCATCGCGCCTGCCAGGACCACGGGTATGTCAGGATGCAGAAAACTTGATTAGGTAGGGGTACAAGATGTGTTAAAAGGAAATGCATCCTCCTCTATGGTCAGCGTTGGCCTTGTGGCACGTATTGTCGAATGGCTAAATGTGTCACCGGGGATGAGCGATCATACACCAGCTGAGCCTTCCTGGCAGTGGGCTGGCAGCACCCTTTCCGCTGTGATGGGGGTGGACAGTGTACCATGGGAAGGGTACGCTTATGTCCTGCTTCCTCAGAGCTATCCCATCTCCCATAGGTTGTAACTATCAGTAGGCAATGCCTGCTGCTAGAAGTAAAAAGTTAAGAATGGCCTTTTTGGACTCTCTTTCGTGGTACACTGTGTAGAATCTAGGTGGGCATGTGTTCRCACACAGAGGAGTCAAAAGGTAAAGGTGTCTTGGGGCAAAACCTACCATGCTAGGCAATCTGACATCAAATGTAATACCAGATTCTGCCTTTTATAAAGAACAAAACAATAGCTRTTTTGGTATAAGAACCACTAACTATAACTCAAAGGCCACTAAACTCAGGATATACTGATGAGCATGCCAGAAAACCACAGGCTGTGTTTGGCCCATGAAGCTAGCACTTTGGATACCAAGGTAATATCAAACTCTATTGCAATTTTTGTATCATGTGGAAGATCTCCTTCATGTGTGATCAAAGTGGTGAGGTATTGACAAAATTAGTGCCTTTCAACTGCCCTGTCAATCTTGTCTTCTATTGTCAAGCTCAATTCAGATGGCATGGAAAGGCTTGTTTCTGTAGCTGCTGCATCCACATCAAGACTGATGGCAGATTATTTGAGTAATGGCAGCTATGTCAGTGAGAAGAGAACATTTTTATGGAAATAGAAATAGCTAATTTTATCTTCCATACAAGAACATCTGAGTTTTCATAGTGTCATTTTGCAAAGCCTGATTTCAAGCCCAGTCTTTACTCTTGGGACATGTACATAGGTACAAGGGGATATGTAGAGCTRATCTTATGTCTAAGCATGTATTCTGCTTCCTAGTTACTAGTTACTTTCTGTGAATCTTTTTTTGAAAGTTGTGATGCCAGCTTGTGGCCTTGAATAAGTTCCTGAACATCAGGTATGATGATTTTCTGGAGAAAACCAGGTACATTCCCAGTTTGTGTACACACAAAACTAGCTGTTTTTCCTTCTTGCCCTTTTAGTACCAYGGTCATAGTTGTAGGTACAGATAAAGGGCCATTGCCAAAGTTCAGGAATATTTSCAGGCAATTTACTTTCCCTTCGAAYAGACTAGTTRAAAACCAAGGGATTGAAATGAAAGTAGAGGTTGAAAGCCAGAGCATTCCATTAGRGAATAATTGCTTCAGCTGCAGTATTTATTGTTGGACAGGTTACATGAGACTAGGGTGGAGAACCCTCCTTGTGGTGGGACRGATCAGATGAGACTTGATTAAGATGTTCCAKGTCTATGTTAACAAACCAAATAAATGGGTCTTGGATTTGGAGCTGTTTGAAGGTGGAATTTGTAGTCAGTGTTCTCATTAGGGAAGGGATGAGGTGGGATGCTTTGCATGAAGCATTTCTCTCCCTCATTGCTCTCAGACATATGTTCAGACAGTCCCAGCTTCAAATTCTCCTCAGCCAGACTGATTACATAATTTGTGAATATGGAAAGTACTGGTAATTAAGCTCTGCACTTAGCACTGTATTTAGAAAATTGAATGACCTTTTAATGCAGGTCTCTTGTGGTCTCTGAAGGTTGCAGAGGTACCCTCTAAGTTTCAGTAACTTGTTTTCTTTAATACGGTAAAATTCTCACAGATGAGTTGTTCACTTTTGTCAATGTTGGTGCTTYGAATCCCAGCAGTGAGGCTGTTAGATGTCCATGAAAGTGTGCTTTAAAGCCTTTACCTCTCTAACTTCTCTCAAGTGCATAAAACCTGACAGGTATTTCACATGAGGACTAAATTATGGTTTTGAGGGGTTTTTGTTTGGTTTTGGTTCTGTTTTTTAATTTTTCTAATAGGCATTGTAGAACTTAAATTTGTTTTAGTGCTGAAGTGAATGTGTGGAAATTTTAAAATAAACAAAAAAAAACTTCCGAACTAACCCTTAAACTGAATTCTTATTKGCATTGGTGATTTGTTTGGTGAGTACACAAAATACATAGTGCGCGTTTTTCACATGAATAAGTCCTGTGTAAAACCTAACAGCAGACCCCTGGCAAATAGGAATTTAAGAGTTACAAGAAGAGGTAACATTAACCCAGGAGARTGTAAGCATAATCAGTGTAATTTGGGAAGGGATTAAATTTCCTCATTGCCTGTAAATTTTGCTTCTCAGTAGAAGTTGAGGATCATTAATTTGTAGCTAAGSAGGTCTTTTAAGAGAAGTCGTAGAATATTATGCTGTAGTGCCGAAAACTGGTATTACGTTTGTCCGCCGCAGTGTGTGTTGGTTTTAACTCACTTTTCAGTTGGTCTTCCTGTTCTGTTAGTTACTCAAAATTAAGAAGTTATGAATAATAAAAGAACATTTAAGTAATAAAATGCACCCAGTTCAAATACTAGCTAGCTTACTGGTAGATGAATATGCTCAGGATATCCCACCTTCACAATCCCAGAATGAGATTAAGCAGATAATCTTTTTCCCAGTAYGATGGTGAATAAAAATTCAGATGTTGCTGCTTAGTCAGAATCTGCAGTGTTTTTTCCCTCTGTGTGCATGGAGGACAGGAGGGTTGATGCTTGAGTGCTGCTGTTCGGAATTGCCTGCCTGCAAGCAGCCATTSCATTACTTTGTGGAAGCTAACTTCACAACCATTTCAGCTGGACATKCTGTGGAGTCTGCTTTTCTGGACAGCACAGGAACAGCTCTGACAAGACCCTCCAGTTCTGGGCTTTTGTTGTTGTTGTTTTTATACTAGTTTTACCCCAAGCTTGCAGTTTTTACAATGATGGCAAAGTTTAGGTGATGCAGAAATAATCTTTATAGTGTTTCTCTTTCCTCTTGCACTGCCGTACTGTCTCTTCTCATTCAGATACAAATTGCTAATGACCATCAAATCCAAAGGTTTATTTCATTGAGACCACAAATGGACTCCTCAGAGTAGAAGCTAAATTGCTCCAAAGCAGTAGAAAAGATTGCATTATTTTAGTGGAGGAGCCAGTTGTTTACTCRGTATTAGATAGTGTTATTAAATGTTAATGAGGATGAGGCATGTGTTGATTTTATCGATTATCAGATCCAGGTAAGCACTAGGTTTTGGCTGGATTTTTTTTCAGGTTTGTCTTGAACACTAGTGCCTTCCAATTCTTAGTAACTGATTTTCTCAGTCAGGTGAACAAGTTACCTAGGTGATCTGAGGGTTTAAAACTGCAGTCTTTTTCTCCTAAGCATCTGTGTTCACCATTTTGGCTTGTAGTACCTTGCACTAAGTGATCCAGCTTACCTTTAATAACACATRTATGCACTTGTGAAGTGACAATTTCATATGCTGGCTTTCTGTATAGTCATTTGCCCACTTGTGTCTTGAGATGGTGTTAATTGCTATGTGTTTCTCCCTGTTCCCTCATTTTTGTCTTTTTTTTTTTTTTGAAATACCACACTGTTGCCTTTTCCTGCTTGAGACTAACACTGGTTTCATGAAGCTTTTAGTTATGGCTGTGCCAACTTTTGGCTAAGTGAACAGTTTCAAATAGCAGTTTCTGGTAGCAATGTAATGTATTCTTATGATTTTTTTATTGTAATGGTTAACAGAAGCTTGGCTATATGTATTTGTGTGCTGGGAAGGAAGAAGAATCATGCATTTAGAGTCTTTGGAGAAGATAAGAAATCTCCAGTGGTTTTGGTAAATGGAAGAACAGAAATGTCACTCTGCTTCCTATTAGTACAAACTTCATATTAGTTTTTTACCCTTGTCTTCTGTGGGCAATCACTAGCCAGTCTTGGCACAGGAAGAAAACCAAGAAGAAAATGCATGCCAAGGAAATGCAGTTTGTACGTCATGTCATTAGAGAAATGTGCAGTACCTGGCAGGGTGGAGGTTCAGCTTCAATAGCATTTCTGAACAGCCCTTCTGATATCTGGCCATTGAATAGCAGTGTGGCTGGGAGTGATGCTTCTTTTCCATATCTCAAAT